TATATACGACTTCGAGATCATCGTTGCATTGGCCTCACATTCGGAAAGTGTCGAAATGATAAATAAATTATGCTCTCGATCAATCTATAGGATGGTTGTTGGGACCAGAATGCTGGTTTTATATATAACTATTAATTTGTAATAATTTGTCAAGTATATTATTTAAATATTGCATATCTGGGTAGGTATTAGGCATACCAAATATACTCTTTATTAGATACTATCAAAAAATTACAGCTAGTGAGTTAAATGACCTCAGATTGAAATGTGGTTTTCAGGAGGTTCGGGAACAAATTTTTTTCCATTTTGAAACACACATGTGCAATGCAACTTTTTTACATAATTTTKGTATGAAAAGTTTTTTCTAATTACGCAATTGAATAAGAGTAAGTTTACATGTAAGATTATACAAGATAATTATTTGTTATTAATCCTTATGATTTTCACTAATTTTACTTGCAAGATAGATAAAATATATTTAAAGGCAGGTAATTAGTATAACTATAATGAAAACAATTGCAAAACGTTAACGTACCTCGATATTGCAGTTTTATTTAGATTTTGTTATTTAATAAAATAACTAGCATTAGTGTTTGTCTTCTCTGTGTATAAAATAATACTCAATATTAATAACTGATATCTTTATAATATGGCAGAGTAAAAGATAAATTGGTTAAAAAAAACTCGCTAAACCTGTGATTATTTGTGAATGTTTAGCAGATTTTAATCTTRCGTATTTTACTTTTATATTACCTACAGTGAATTGAACTATTATAAAAAAGTATTTATAATCCACATTATTTCTGTTTTAACGTTGATTGATCACAATATTATAATTTTTCAGTAATACCTTTAATAATTATTTTTAAATTTTAATATTTTACATGCGGACATAAATATTTAAAACTTGCATTAAAAATGAAATACCTATCATAAAAATGTCGACGTACCTAATACCTATAGGGACATAGATAATGTTCTTATCTTTGAATTTAATAATAGGTAAATTTACTCAAATACTAAAGCTAATAACATAAGATATTGGTTCTGATAAACAAAAATTAGGTATATCCTGTGATAGATGGAAAACATGTACGCTGACATCATCTCAATCAATCCTATACATTTTTAAGACAATTGACAAATATAAATAGTAAACGATAGCCAAAATACTAGTAGTCTACTGTCTACTGCAGTCATCATGATTGTGATTTGGATTTAATTATTGTTGATAAAAAAATCTGAAAATTTTAAATGGGTGACAATGTGACATTAATTATATATTTAAAAATATTAGAACAAAGTAGATCGATGTTTCTCATAAGTATTTTGCATACTGTAAGTACAGTGTAGGTACCTAACTAAAATATCTACAAAATTTTTAAGCACAGTTTTTTTTTATAGTTACTAATTATTATTTAAAAATATTAATCGTAGGTATAATTGAAACTTCTAAAGTTTATCGTTATATTTTATACACCTAGTGACGTTTTAATGTTATTTATTCGTTCGTCAAAAAATAATTCAACTCATAGCAATTACTATATTATAATGTCTAAATGAAATAATAAAATCAATTATTTTAATAATATCGTAAAATATATTATATACCCACTTAGTATAATATTATGGGAATTAAACGGTCAAGTTATAGTATAATAGTTATTATATTACAGTCTATAAGTCTACAAAACAGTACAGACATTATAATGTCTACACACTAAACTAAGTTTGCTGGTATTGTGGCACTGTGGCAGATTTTCAATCATAAAATATAAGACTGATGGGGTCTTAATAAACTACAATATAACGAAAAGGTCTGAAAAAAAGCAATTGTTATAGTTACAAAATTATGTTATAAAAATCTGATGATTCGACATATTTAATTTAATTTACCTATTTAACATAATATTAAATAAGCAAGTGTATCATTTTTATAAGACTATCAAATTTTACATGGCCCGATATGTTTGTGCCAGGGCCCAGGGGCGTAGCTAGGATTTCTTTTGGGGTAGGCCCACTATAAAACTTTTACTCACCGACGGTAATGGGGACTTTTCCTGATTATAGCCTACTATAATTTCAGTTATCAAGTTATCTAAGTTTTCATTGATTATTCTTATAAATAAATGAATAATTAATTACTTAAAAATTAAAACAAATTGAACCAAAAAATAAGCATATACTCGTATTTTCAAAAGATGAAATTTTTATTTAAGTACCTAAATACTAATATTTTTACAAAATACAATTATAAATATTAATTTATATACTCGTAAAGTTGTAATTTATAATATACTTATTATTTTCAAAGTAAAAATTCTAAATTTCCAACAAAACTTTATCTCGATAATTTTGWAAGTAWCGADTTTWTCGATTACCTATTTTTCAATATTATTTTTACGTATCGTCTATCGACTAGTGCGATAGTCCTAATGGGATTTTAATGATGTCGCCGTCTTGATACAGACAATGAGACAAATTATTATAGTGTTATATTAATATTATACTGTTGTAAAAACGTGTATACGTGTCTGAATATATTAATAATATATTCAGACACGTATACACAAATAATATAATATTATTTTTAATATTATTGGTTTTTTTCTAGAGAAAATCTGGGCAGGCCCGGGCCTACCAGGCCTGCCTACGCCCCTGGTTTGTGCCTTTATATCACTGTATAAATTTAATTAATACACGTGTGCGTTTTAACCGACCAGATACTGAATACTGAAACGCATCATCGAATCGTCTAATACAGCGGTTCTTAATCTTTTGTAGAACACGGACGACGGACCCTAGATGAAATATTTTTAGAAATCTTGGACCCCTAACAATTTAAATTTTTTGTCGAATACCT